GAAGAAGCTGCTCTGATGAGGGTTGAGTGATGCATTCTGGGGATATAGCAATATGTCATTAGGAGTCTTTTTATTGCTATTCATTTAACAGATTAACAATAGTAGATATTCTCCTAAGGGTCATTATTTATCTAGTTGAATATTGTTGGCCTCATTGACAGTGTTGGCTGTGGGTTCCATCTCATGAGGTGGGCCTGAAATCTGATCTAAACAGTGGTTGGTTACTCACATAGTATGTGTGCCACAATTGCACCAGTGGGCGTGTCTTTCAGGTCATATTATAGCTTACATGGTCCACAGCTGGGTGAGACTGATGATTACTTTTCTCAACCAGTGTTGTGTATAGCACCTTCCAGTACTGTGAACACTACCCACTGACCTGATGCTTTCATATGTATTAAGAGGGAAGATAGAAATCAGAACCAAGAAGAACCAGAAATAAAGTACTTCTTAAAAATACCATTAATAATTTTATTCTTTGAGAATTTCATACATGTACACACTATATTTTGTTCATTTACATCCCCCACTTCCCTGCTCAAATTCCTTTGGATGCCCTCCAAGTCCCCCTCCCAACTTCATGTCTTCTTTTTGTTTATAAACCTCTGAGTCTAAATAGTGCTGCCCATATGTGCATAGTGTGGGGTCATCCATGGGAGCAGAGGCCATCATCTGGGGCTACACCCCTGGGAGAAGCTGACTCTTCCTCCTCTAGCAGCCACCAACAATCATGAGCTCCTTAGCTCTGCGGGAAGGACTCATGAGCCTTTCCACATCCTTGCTGGAATGTTGACTGGCTGATCTTGTGTGGGTCTTGTGCAGGTAACCGGAGCTTTTGTGACTTCGTGAGTGTGATTGTCCTGTCATGTCCAGAAGACACCAAGGAACTGAATCCTTTTGGCCTTCATAGTCACTGGTATGAAGGTTTGGTTTGTACTTATTAGTACAGGTGAGAGCTAACCCTTGTTGACTTTTCCTATTGCTTGGAACTATACCCATTCATTGTGCCATCATTTGTGTGTATGTTGTATGCTTGTGTATGTAGTCATGTGCTCACAGGGGTGTGCATATGTAAGTACACAGGTTGATGTGAGGATGTCTTCCTCAATTGCTCTCCACTTTATTAGTAGTGTTTTAAATTACATTTCAGCGTGTGTGCACACCTGCACAGGGATCACGGTGCCTGTGTAGAAGTCATAAGACAACTTGCAGGAGTTGGCTCTCTCTTTCTACCATGTAGGTCCTAGGGATTGAAGCCAGGTTGTAAGTGTTGGCAGCTGGCACCTTTACTCACTGAGTTGGTCTTGCTGGACCTCCAATTTACCCTTTGAGATGGGATCTCTCAGTGACTTGGAGCTCATTTCTTGGGCAAGACTATCTGTCTAGCAAGCTCCAGGGATGGCCCTGTCTTTGCCTCAGTACCACTAGGATTACAGGCATGCACCACCTTGTCTTCTTTTTATGTAGTTGACGGGGACCTGATATCAGGTGCTCATACCAAGTCATTTCTCCAGCCCTAAACAATTTTTAAAAAATGAAATTTACAAATCACTGGTTACTTTATTATTAATGTTGATTATCATAACATTCCTTGATGTTTCCAGAAGGCAAATAACATTTTTTTTGACACAATGTCTCACGTTGTTTAAACTGGCCTCAAACATGCTATGAGAATGACCTTGGACTTCAGAAATTCCCACCTCCCATGGTCTGGAGTTACAGCCGCATTCCACCACACGTGATGTATGCTGGGCTGGGCACGGAAGTCAGGACTTTGTAACTCCCAGGCCCTCTTGACGTTTTCTTACACATCTTGTCTTTGAGCATGTGTGTACTTTCTGGTACAAGAATGTTTTCTGAGCTCCTCTTAGACTTTCCCAGCTTGGAATCTGTTCTCCAAAAAACCAGAAAAATGGTGTTCATAAAGCAGAAGTTGGGCACTAGGAGTGCTCATGGTGATCGGAACATCACTGTTTCTTAGCTCTTTCAGAGATGTAGGGCTACCTTTCTAGTACTCCTCTCTCATTTTTATCTACCACCTATTTCAAGAAATAGGAATCTACCCCAAAACAGCCTATTCCACCCTGGCTTCCTAGGAATAGTCTCAGTTTTCTTCTGTTCTGAATCTGACAGCTCTTACTAAGACTGAGAAGCCGGGCTTCCATTGTTCTTGATATCCTTAGAAATTTGGTGAATTCATTGTTTTGTTTTGTTTTTAATTTTTTTTCAAGACAGAGTTTCTCTGTATAAAAGCTTTGGCTGTCCTGGAACTCACTTTGTAAACCAGGATGGCCTCACACTCACCTCTGCCTCCCAAGTCCTGGGACTGAAGGCATGGGTCACCACACCTGACATTTTTACTGGCATTTACTCATTATAAATAGTGCTGGGTTTTCTAGTAATATTTTCATGCAAACAAATAATGTACTTTGATCACATTTCCTGTCCTATCCTCCTTTCTTCTCCCTCCTCTCAGTCCCCCTCATTTTCCTAGACACTTCATCTTCTCTTTCCATGATCAATTTTTTTTAAGAAATTATTTTGCCACACTGGGCAGTGGTGGCGCACGCCTTTAGTCCCAGCACTTGGGAGGCAGAGCCAGGTGGATCTCTGTGAGTTCGAGGCCAGCTTGGGCTACCAAGTGAGTTCCAGGAAAGGCGCAAAGCCACACAGAGAAACCCTGTCTCGAAAAACCAAAAAAAAAAAAAGAAAAAGAAAAGAAAAGAAATTAAATTATTTTGCCTCTGGCCAGGAAGGAGATCAGTGTCTTGCTCAGCCATCAACAGAGAAGCTCCCCCCTGCAGCATATGGGAACAAATGCAGAGACCCACAGCCAGACATGATGCAGAGTGAGAGACTTTGGAACACTCAGCCCTAAATGGGATGTCTCCATCAAATCCTTCCCTTCAGGGCTTGGGGAACCCTGTGAAAGAGGAGGCAGAAAGAGTGTAGGAGCCAGAGGATAAGGAGAATGCCAAGAAAACCAGACCCTCTAAATCAACAGAATAGATGCAAATATGAACTCACAGAGCCTGAGGGAGCTTGCACAGGGCCTGCACTATTCTGCACCAAGGCCTCTCTATATGTGTTATGGCTTTCAGTTTAGTGTTTCTATGGGATTCCCGAGTATGTGAATGAGAAGTTCCAATTCCTATGCCTTCTCTTAGGCTTTTTCCCATTTGTTTTATTTTAATTTTATATTATATTTTATTATTATCCCTTAGAAGCCTATTTCCTTTCTAATGAGAGACAGAAAATGGGTGGACCTGGATAGGAGGTGTTGTGGGGAGGAACTGGAAGGAGTAGAGGGGAAAGAAACCATAAGTAGGATATATTATGAGAGGAAAAATATTTTCAATTAAAAATTCCTCCCCCAATAAACAAATGCTCATCCACTCAAAAATTACTTTATTTTTTTTTGTGTGTGCACATGTTGTGTGTTTCTGTGCATGTGTGAACAGGAGCTTTCAGGGGCCAAAAGAAACATCAGGTACTCTGGTGCGGAAGTAACCAGTGGGCTCTTTACTCACTAAAGCACAAGCTTCTTGTGTAAGGATACATCTCAATGGAGGCTTTATAGCTGGCTTGGCCTCTCACACCCAGCCAGGCTGCCTTCCATGTAGACATCTTCTCCAAAGTACTGGGTCCCATTTGGAGTCAGTAGTGGCTTCCTTCATGAGCCCCACACAATGTTTTTAGACTAAATGACTCAGGAAGAGAATGGAAAGGTAGAAACTAAAATGAATGAACCCAGTAAAGCTTCTGATACTGGATAAGACTGGAACATTTTAGCCTTTGGTGCCCAATCCATGGACCAGTCAGCCATTTTTATTTTATGTTCACAGTCGTAGGACAGAGAGGAGCTCATGATGGATTCTGTCATGATTTCTTTTCCTGTTACTGTGATAAGCACTACAAGAAAATCAAGTTAAGGAAGAAGGAGTTGACTCTGGCCCACAGTTCTAGTGGGGAGCCCATCGTGGAGGGGAAATCAGAGGTCAGGAGCTAGAAGATCGGTCACGTGTCGTCCACAATCAGGAAGCAGGAAGTGATGAGTCAAGTTGCTGTTCAGCTCCCTTTCTATACTTATATAGTCCTGGATCCCATATGGCACCACCTACAGAGGGCAGGCCTTCACGCTTTAACCAACTCAATCAAACACCCACCACCCACAGGCATGCCTGCAGGCCCATCTCTATCCCAGGTGATTATAGATTTTTTGGAGCTGACAATAGCAACAACCATGGATTCCAAAGAAGTCTGAGAAAACATGGCCTTTCAGAGATGTGAGTGGAGAGGAAGATGACAAAAAGTCAAGCCTAATAATAAAAATATTAGCATTTCACTTGAGTTAAATTAAAAGTCCTTCAAAGATGACAGAATTAAGCTATGAATAAATTTCTTAAGCAATGTGTCAATTCAAAATGGATCAGCAGCACCAAACTTTGAGAGTCAAGTGCAGATCCCAAATTGGTTCACACAATGGATGACCATGGTGATTGGAAAGGATTATCATCATTTTTTATTGATTCAGTGTTTTTCCCATTAATGTGTATAATGACACCACATATTTTTGAAAGAGATATTTATTTATATTCTCAATATCATAAAATTTTACAAAGAAACAATTTGATATACTTTTACCAACAGTCTATACAATAGTTTTTATTTTATTAAAAATTATTGGTAGAAGTAAAGAGAAACCATTACTACAGTTAGAGTTCAGAATTGATGGAACTAATTGGAATCAGTGTAGATTGTCCCAAAAGAATAAGAAGATGAATCTCCATATTTATGACTGACTTTGTTTCCTTTGAATCACATAATAGATGATACTCTGTATAGACACTGAGCATGTTCAATGCATTACTGAATACTAAATCATCAAGGAAAGTACATTATGCTCATTTCATCTGGGTTTCATTCCATGGTAAATTAAATTTGCTGGTGTTCCATGACACAGCCCCCTTGAAGAATATAGCATGGTTCCTGAGGGAAATTCATGCTCCAGTTATGGGTTTATCTCTTGACACAATCTTCAGGATGATGGGTTTTTCTGGTTGGAGAATTGGTTGCCTGCTGAACTTCAAGGGGATCTGCAGTAGTTGAACAATCACAATGAGAAGCAATGAGTGAGGCACCAGCAACGATAGAAGTATAGAGAACAGATACATTAAGGACCACAATGCTTTATACACATAAACACACACTATATATCACTGTCCTATATCCTGAGTTCTTTATACCTGCATATTCACTGAGACTGGATGGTAAAACACTTATCTTTTTATACAGGCAAGTATTAGTTGAGCACCTATTGTGTGTAGAGTTAAGGAAAAAGTTATATTGGTTTGTGTTCTTTAGTGATTCAAATTTTAAGTCAAAAGGCCAAGTTAAAACTTTAGATCATAGCTTAATTATATAGAAAATGAATTTTGGAGGCAATATAAAGTTAATTTTACATTCACGGAAGCATAAGGTAATCCTGAGAATGCATCACATATTTTACCCCTATGGAATGACTCAATTATCAAAGTGCCTGGGCACCAGGTTTGCCCATTCAGTTTAATGGTGGACAAGGATTCCAGGAAGCGTTGGCCCTTGTTACCTTAGCTTCCAAGGGTAGTTTGAAAGATAACCTTGAGTAATTCAATGTTTACATAATCATTTTGCCTCAGTCTCTTCAGTCTTGAGGGGGTGAGGAAGCCTCCTCCACAGCAATTTGATCTCATTACAGGAAAGGGAAAGAAAATTGTCATGGGGGAAGGGCGTCAGACTGTGGGTAACTGGAGCTTGTTAGGTGTTCCAGAGTCCTGCTTGCTTCCAAGATGAAATGCTCTGTCCATCTGTCCATCTAAACAAACGCCTACACACATTTATAGGACAGCTATATTGTAGCCATAGGCCACTTATATCCTCCTGGCTTCCCATGAAGAAAGGCAATGGAACAGGAAAGTACTGTATATTTCGTGTGTGTGTGTGTGTGTGTGTGTGTGTGTGTGTGTGTGTGTGTGTGTGTGTTAGAACTTAACCATCAGACAGTGATTTACGTAGTATTTCCATTGTCTTAGCCACTGTTCTACTGCTGTGGAAAGTAGCTCTTATAAAAGGATTTAATCGGGGGCTGGCTTACAGTCTCAGAGGCTTGGCCCATTATCATCATGGTGGGGAGTGTGGCAGCAGACATGGCAGACATGATGCTGGAGAAGGATCTGGGGACTACATCTTGATTCACAAGCAGAGAGAGCAACAACATTGGGCCTAGTGTGGGCGCTAGAAACTTCGAAGGCCACCTTTAGTGATTCACATATCCTGTGTCACATCGGTGACTCTCAACTTTGGTGTGTAGGAGAATAGCCTATATCTTAAAGCCACATTCTGGGTGCATTATTTCAGTGTACCTAATATGGCCGGACACTGTGAATGTTTAAGGCTCTTCAGTAGTTCTAAAGCACAGTCAGCAATTGGGAGCCTCTGATACCTGGAAGCTTCTCTTAAGTCCTGGTGATGCCCACCAGTCACAAACCGTGATAAGATCATTATTGTATGTTGTGTGCACAACGTCTCCCTATCTCGTTAACTTGGATGCAATTTCAAGGAGATTTCATGTAGTCATGTCCCCTAATCTGCACTGACTCTAAATGAATTCCTTACTTGTGTTTTATTCAGACACAGCTCAGGATGGAAAGACCTTAAAGCTCATATCAGACTACAAATACCTTCTTTTGTTCCCTACATTATTAAATTGTACATGAGCAGTGTGGTGATTTGAATGAAAATTGCTCCCTGAGGTTTATGTTTGAATACTTGGTCCTTAGTTGACAGAACTGTTTGGGAAGGATTAGGGGGTGTGGCCTTGTTGGGGGAGGTGTGTCACTGGGGGGTGGGCACTGAGATTTCAAAAGACTAGTGCCATTCATTTCCAGCTCCTCTCTCTCTCTAAACTCTCAGTGGTACCTGCTGCCATGCCTTCACTCTGACATCATGGACCTTCATCCTCTGCAACCATAAGTCTAATTAAACACTATTTTTTTAAAAGTAAGTTGTCTTGGTCATGGTGTTTTATCACAGCAATAGAAAAGTAACCAAGACAAGCATTTTATTTTCTGTATGTAAAGCTCCAACATTTTTCTATAAAAAGTTGAAACATTATTTATAGAGAGAGTTTCCTGCCTCACCTTTGTTTCCTCACAAGGCTGGAGGGTGAAGTTCTGCAGGACTCTGACGACAGCAAGTTTCATGCTGATGAGGGCAAACCTCATGCCAAGGCAGTTCCTGGGTCCGTTCCCGAAGGGCAGGTAAACATAAGGATTGATGCTGCCCTTGTTCTCCTTGCTGAACCTGGAGACAGAGTGGGGATGCAAATGAGGCTATGGAACACTAAGACCCAAGAGCTCCGTGTTTGGAGTTCTCACACCCTCAACCAGGATGGTGCAGCTTACATTTGTGGACTTGCAACTGAACCCTTACTGCAGGGGTCTGAATAAGGAACTATGAGCTAAAAGTCCACTCCACTCACACCAAAACAGGCATTTCCTGGGTTGTTGAGACAAGTGGAAATGAATGCTTTTTGAGAGAAAACACATCCTTAGACAGAAAATATTCCTTTTAGGATGATGAAGTGTCCTGTCCTGAAAGACATATTGGGATTGGCCAAACTGAAGACAAAGTGGGCTCCTGCCTCACACTTAGGGAGGAGGACACACCTCTCTGTCACTGTGAGAAATGCTCATTTTCTCTCCCTATCACTCCCCTCTCCCCTCATTTCCCTTCTTTGTCGCTCCCCTCACCTATGTTTTCACTGTCAGCCTCTTCTCCTTCAACTCTCTTTTTCTTTTGAGAAAACAACCCCCCATAGAACAACCAAAGCCAAATAACTTTCTGGGGCACAGGATGAGTCTCTACTACGGCATCACGAGTGACTTCCATGTCTACCTTCTCCACTAAGCTAAAAGATACCTATGGAACATGTAGAGCTGAATTTATTCAAATTTGTTTTTTTCATTATTTGACTATATAAGTGAAAATAAATGATTCTGAAAAAGTGACAAGAACAGGAATGATTGGTGCTTTAAAATTGTTTTTGATAATCTGTAGGAAAAAAGAGAAGTATTTACATGTGATATGTTATGAAATAACACAGGAGTGTGGACAATTTAGGTTGCGTGTGGACAGGGAGTTCACATGCTTGAACACGAGAAATGCATTATAATAATTGTATGGGACTTAGGAGATGGTTTAGTCAGTAAATTACTTGTCTGACAAGTGTGATGGTCTGGGTTTGGTCCCCAGAACCTGCACAGAAAGCTAGGCATGGTGATGTATGCCTGTAATCCTATCTGTGGTGAGAGGGGAGGTGGAGATGATCAGATCCCTGGAACACGCTATCCAGCTACACTAACGTAGTGAAAGCACTAGGCCAATGAGAGATCCTGTCACAAACAAAAGGTGAACGGCTCTTAGAGAGAGGCTTCTGAGGTTTTCTCCAGACCTCAGACATCTACATACATGTGCTCATCCACTCATGCACATACACCTACATATATATGCACCTACAACACACACATACAGAAAGACAAATGTGCTCTCCCACGAGCACACACACATATGCACACACAATGTGCACCTGCACAAGCACATATACACATGGTTTTGGGATTTCAAAAGCCCGTGCCAAGCCTTCCCATGGATCAGGATACAGCTCTCAGTTACTGCAGCAGAGCCTGACTGAACGCCACCGTGCTCCCCACCATGATGATAATGGACTAAACCTCTGAAGCCATAAGCAAGGCCTCAGTTAAATGCTTTCTTTCATAGGAGTTGCCTTGGTCATGGTGTCTCTTCACAGTATGGAACAGTGACTAAGACAGACATTATGTATTTAACCTGGCTGTTCATGGTGGGAACCCCTTCCCGAGGTCTCTGTACCTTTCAGGGCGGAACTCTTCAGGCTCTGGCCAGTACTCAGGGTCCCGGTGAAGAGGATAAGTTGGTACCATAACTACAGTCCCTTTGGGAATGAACACTCCATTGATTTCCACATCCTTTTTTGAGACCCTCTCTAGTCTGTTAGCGATTGGGTACAATCTGAGAGTTTCATTCACCATCATGTCAAGGTACTCCATGTCCATCAAGGCATCATAGGTGACAGGTGCCTGGGAAGAAGAAATGGATGTTTCCAGATGAAGTTTGGATTTGATCTTCAATTAAGTTTGCAGGACTATTGCATGTCAGAAGCTCCAAGGGCTAACCTTGATTAGTAGATCTCAGCCATAATAAATTATTCTGCACCTATGATGACCTAGGTCCTGATGATATATCATAGGAGCCATTTGGGACACTCCCCTGTCCAGATCCCCTCTTCCTCATCACTGTCCTGCTCTGATTTCTTCTCCATGTGAGCACATATGACCAATATGACAAAGTGCACTGGGGTCACAGTCTCATCTCCATAGACCATCAGTCTACACCAAGGAAATGTGTCATTGTGAGGAACAAACTCCCCACTCCTGGTCCAACCAGGCTGAAATTGACAGTGCCACATCTTTGTAGTTCCTGTGCTTATGGGATTAGTTCAGTGAAAGGTACAATGGAGGATTCTGGGTAAGACGACAGACTACAAGCTGCCTCTGTGTGAGCTGGCGAAGGAGAAAATTCCAAAAGAGAAAAAAATCTTTTCTAGAGAAAGAAAGAGAAGAAGAACCCCTGAAACACATAAAGGAAGTGGCAGGACAGCTAAAAGGCATGGGGGAAAAGATGGGTGAACTCACGGAAAAGAAGCCAAGCTGAAGTTGGCTCCAGCTGCCCTGTGCCCTAGCAGGGGGAGGAAGGGAAGTCAGTGGTACTCCAAAAGTTAAAACAGGGGTTCTGACTGAAAGAGACTGGGGCCCTACCTTCAAGAGAAGCTCCCAGCCCTCACAAGCCTCGAAATCAATTCAGGTCTGGGTGAGACAGCAATGGCTTCTATGACAGAGAGAGTCCCATAGTCACTCAGTATGACTCAGAGAACTTATTGTTGCAAAATGACCAGCCAACGGGGCCAGCCAATTGGGGTACAACCACAGGACATGGATTCTTTCGGTGATTCTAGACTATATAAAGGTGACAGTTAATGCTAACTGGAACACCCTCAACCCTTAGTATATATCTGGAAGAATCTAAGCCAGTACATCACAGAGATACTAGTGAACCTATTGCATTATTCACAATAGCTAAGAAATGGAACCAAATTTGATGTCCAGCTACAGGTGCATGGGGAAAGCAAATGTAGTACTTGTGCACAATAGAAAGTTTATTGACCACAGAGATCAATGAGACCATAAAATTTGCTGGAAACAGGTGCAATTAGAGATCGTTAGGTTAAGCAAGTCAAACCAAACTCAGAAAAGGTGTGAATGTAGAGAGGAGGGATGGAGGGATGAAGGGAGGGAAGAAAGGAGGGGAGAGTATATACGAAATGAAAGCAATTCTGCATATTCTTTAGGGAAAGGAAGAAGTCTGATAAGAGAGGTTAGGAGAATGAGGGAGGGCAAAGAGGGAGGAGGGTGAACACAAATCAACTTTAATGGCATGTATATAAAAATGTCAGCGTGAAACACATTGCTTTGTGTGCTAACTTTAAAAAGAATATAAATTTTAAAATGTTTAAAGCAATTTCCAGTAATGACCAAAAGCTACATTCATTACCATCCTTGGAAGCTGGACCAGTGTACCAGTTTTTGCTTCAGGACCTGACGATGAGCTCTGGAGGAGATGCATTCTGTACCATTCTGCCCAAACAGCCACACAAGTCCCGGGTAACTTTACATCCCCAAATCTCCCAGTTTGAGCAAAGAGTTGAAGACAGTATGGCCATTGTGGCTGTCATTTAGTGTGACACTCAAAAAGACTATCTTGTAGAGACTTAGAGTTTGGTTTAGGGGGCTAGTGAGATGGATCAGGGGGTAAAGGAATTTGCTGCAAAGTCTGATGGCTTGAACTGAAACTCTGGAAACAAAATTGTGGAAACAGAGAGCTGACTACAAGTTATTCTCTGACCTCCATACACATGCTGTGGCATGGACACTTATGCACATACATTCACACACACATGTGTACATGCATGTACATATATATACATAGAAGAGTGAATAATTAAAATAATTAATGATGGTGCTGTTGTTGATGATGATGATGATGATAATAATAATAATAATAATAATAGATTGGTTTCAGAGCTGGAGACACTGGCTCATCCCTTGGCTTCTTTACCTCTATCTATACCACTGAGTGCATTTCCATATAGCTGAAGCTGAAATATTAGACACCTCAGAGGCTTGATCTAGAGACTCTCTGAGAGACCTTGTCCAGCACACTGACTGTAATGCCAGCTCTGGTCAGCAGAGGGCACAGACACTCAAAGAAATTATGAAAGTGATGCTAACTGCACACAGGGCTTCAGACAGGAAGTAGTCTGATACACTATCAATGCCATTATAAACCACAGGAAAGAAAAGACTCCCCTAATTCACACACACACACACACACACACACACACACACACACACACACACACACACTCACTCACTCACTCACTCATTCACTCACTCACTCACTCACTCACACACATATAAATGCCATGCTATCCAGACTGGACAGCAGAACCATTGAGAATAGTGTCAAGCCAGCCTGCTGAGACCAGTGAAGGCCAGCTTAGCACCATAGATAGCCCAGACAGCATCCGAGAACATCAGCAGAGATAACTGTCCAGACATCTGAGGGACTGGTGCTTACCCTTATGTGTCACACAGGTTTTCTAGTGTTTCTATTTGGTATAACAGTTATGATAGATACAGACACACCAGAGCCAGCACTGTATTAAAGATCATGTATTTCTACAGGTCACATTCATCTCCCATGTCCCTCCCTTTGTTTCTCTTTTAGACTCTTGCTGGTGGAAGAACCATTGCATGGCTCCCTGTAAAAATTCTCATTGCCAGTGATGAGACATTTTCTTGTGAATTCTCCACCTCTGCCCTCCCTTTCTGGGTACCATCCACTCACCTTATTGGGCAGAGTTCTGTCAATCTCATCCTGAAGTTTCTTCTGCACATCAGGATGGGTGGCCAGTTCATACATCATGAAGCAAATGGATGTGCTTGTAGCATCATAGCCAGCGAAAATGAAAATAACGGTTTGTGCTGCCATTTCTAGATCAGACAGAGCTAAAAGGAAAAGAACATTGTAAATAAGGAAGATCAAAGCAGAACATCATAGTTGAGATGAAAAGAAATTCAAATTGGCTCCCAGCATCCAGGAAAGAACAGAGAAAGGCAGTCTAGTGTAACTAGAGTTTTCCTGCCTTGCCCACAGTCAGGGCAAATCTCTGTCACTCGCCAGTTCCACAACCGCTCAGACCCAACCAAGTAAACACAGAGACTTATTTGCTTAAACTGTTTGGCCTAATGGCTCAGGCTTCTAGCTATCTAGTTCCTACATCTTAAATTAATCCATTTCTATAAATCTATACCTTGCCACATGGCTTGTGGCTTACCAGCATCTTCACATGCTGTTTGTCATGATGGCGGCTGGCAGTGTCTCTGACTCAGCCTTCCACTTCCCAGAATTCTTCTCCTCCTTGTCCTGCCTATACTTCCTCCTGCCTGACTACTGGCCAATCAGTGTTTTATTTACTAACCAATCAGAGCAACACATTTGCCATACAGAACATCTCACAGCAGTCTAGGGTCGTTGGAACTGAGTTTCACTCTGGTGTCTACCTGATATACCAGAAAAAGGTCGTTATTATTTTAAAATAAATTTTATGTGTATGGGTGTTTTATCTGTATGTATGTCTGTGCACCACATGTATCCCTGGTATCCACAGAGACTAGGAGAGGATATCAGATCCTTGGCAACTGGAATTACAGATGGCTGTGAACTGCTGTGTGGGTGTTGTGAATTGAATCCAAGTCCTCTGGAAGAGCAGCCATTGTCCTTAACTGGTAAGCCATCTTTCCAATTCCAAGGTCAAATTACTTTAATCCCAGATGACCTCAGATCTATATTGTTGGCGACCAAATATTAGGCCAAATTCATATCATCACAACTGGGCAATTTCAAGAACCAGGATTCTCTCTAACCTATACTGTCATCTTAGTGTGGGATGAAAATGAAAGTGTTGTGGTAGTTGACAGTGATTGACAACTTGACAGATCTAGAGTCACCTAGGAGATAAGCTTCCAGGCATAATGCTGTGGTGTTATCTAGACTTTCTTGCTTCCTGATAGGGATAGGCCCGTGAAGGTTTATCTTGACTAGGTTATTTGATGTGGAAAGACTCATCTTGTTTCTAAACATTTACTTCTGTTTTATTTGCATGTGTATGGTGATATTTTATTTATACTGAAATGTGATTTTATTTGTATGTTAATAAATAAAGTTGCCTGGGGGTCAGAGCTAATAGCAAGCCATAGCAGAGCTAGGTGTTCATGGCACACACCTTTAATCCCAGCACTTGGTAGGCAGAGCTAGGTAGATCTCTGTGTGTTCAAGGATACAGCCAGCATTGGAGACACACACTCCAATGTGTGTCTGGAGGTCTGTACAGACAGGCAGTGACGAGGCAGTCACGTGGTTGGGTTTACAACCAATGAGAAGGCAGAACAGAAAGTCTATATAAAGACAAACAGACAGGAAGTAGGTCTCTTTCGGAGAGTTCTCTTGGCTGAAGAGGATAGCTGCATCAGGTGGGTAAGGCTCTTAGCTCTGATCTCTTGGCTTTCTTCTTTGCATTGGTTCTGTGTTTCTTATTTAATAAGACGGTTGGTTACATCTACATTTGGTGCCCAACGTGACAAGAATCCATTAAAAACCGCTTGGCTTAGCTTGGCTGCAGGTCCGGTTTCTGGCCTGAGTGGTCTGGCTCCCTAGCTCGGGCCCAGCTCGGGCCCAGGTCGGCTTGGCCTCAGGCTGGACTGACTGTAGCCCCAAGCAGTTGCACGCAGTTGGAGCTACTTGCTTAAAGCTGGTGTTACAATCAACTCAGGCCTGCCCTGCTGAACAGGACCCCTGCCTGTAAAGCCAACGCACATGGTTGGAGCTTAAGGAAGCCAGAGCCAAGGCTTGACTCTGCTTAAGCGGGAACATGTGGCTGGATTCAAGCTCTTAGGCAGAACTTCTGGCTATGCTTTCTTGCTCTCTCTCTCTCTCTCTCTCTCTCTCTCTCTCTCTCTCTCTCTTTCTCTCTCTGGATTCACACCTCAGATACTAGGTGGCTGTTTTGAAATTCCCTCGGATTTCTACTGTTCTACACAGACTTGGTAAGTCACTTAACATACCAGGTATTTTAAAGGAAACTATTTAAAAGAGAAATTTTTTCCACATTAAAAAAATGGGTTTTATGTGTACATTGGAAGAAAATTGGGCTTTGTTTGAAATTTTAGGCAGTCTGACAATGGAACAACTATATGAGAAGATTAATGTTGATCAAATTATGCAGTTGATTACTATGCTTATCCTCATTTTACTGTTTAAAAAGATAGTCAATTTAAGTGCCAGGATAACAGTTTTAGAAAAACTTGTTAAACCTGTAAAAATAAATCATAGAGAAATTCAAATTCAGACAGAAGAAATTAACAGTGAAGTTGTTTCAAGATTGGATCATAAGGTTACAGAAAGAAAGCCTGTTTTCACACAGTCACTCTTAATTTATCTGGTAACCATACAGCAGTTGCCTAATCAAATGACTACACAAAATATTTGGGCTCCAATTGAAATGTTAGATTTGAATGTTTAAGGAGGCAATAGTATCTTATGACATGCATTCCCCATGTGTAAAGCAAATGTTAAACTCGTGGTCAACATATAATAGGATTATACCACAGGACTGGTGGAAGCTGGCACAGGCTGTTCTGGAACCCAGTCAAAGGCTCCAGTGGCAAATCTGGTTCAGGGATGAGGGTAAAAACATAGAAAAACAATGGAGGGGTAAAGGAATACAAGTCTTCCAGGATCAGCTTATTGGAGAAGGCCAATATGCTTCAGTACAAACACAATGTTTATATGATGTCCAAACCCTAATTCTATGTCGAATGGCAGCTTTGAATGCATGGGACAGAGTTGAGGAACCATGAAAAAAAAACTGAGTCATTTACAAAGGTTATACAAGGCCCAAAAGAACCTTTCACAGATTTTTTTACAAAGACTGCCTTCAGCAGTAAAGAGAATGGTCCCGGATTCAGAAGCGAGTCAGATAATAATTGAATCTTTGGCCTTTGGGAATGCGAATGCAGCATGCAAAAGAATAATCAGGCTGTTAAAGGCAAGATCTGCACCTTTGGAAGATTGGATTAGAGACACGGTTAATGTTGAGGCTCATGACCATGATGCTATGTGGGTAGGAGAAGCAATTTGAAAAGGTTTGAGGAATGTTAGATGTTTTGAATGTGGAAAGCAAAAACATTTGACAAGGGACTGTAAACAGGTCATTCCTAGAAACAATGTTTCTTCAAGGAAAAATGGCAACAGAATGCCCTTTCCTTCTGGAGTATGCAGGAGGTGTGGTAAGGGAAAACACTGGACCAAGAATGTAGATCAACAAGGGATAGACAAGGTAATCCTTTGACTCAGTCTTCGGGAAACTCCCAGAGGGGCCTCATGCAGGCCCACATAACAAACCCAGTTCAAACCTTTCCTGCAGTTGTAGAGGAAACCCCTACTCAGAGCAATTAAATAACCAAATGCCTATTGGAATAAATCATGCTGGTCAGGATGATGAAAGAGAGAGAATAGAAAATTCAGGAAAAAACATAAAGAGAATTTTTTGGCAAACTTCTATTAATGAACAAAGACCAAAATTAACAATAAAAATAAATGGTGTTTTGTTGTCTGTTCTGGTAGACGCAGGTACAGACGTTACCATAATTGTACCAGAATTTTGGCATCCAACTTGGCCTCTTCAGGAGGTAAACATTCAGCTCTTAGGAATTGGGACATAATCTCAAGTGAAACAGAGTGCAAGATGGCTTGAATGTATAGGTCCAGAAGGACAAAGAGGAAAATTAAAACCATATGTGGCTAACATAGCTATGAACCTGTGGGGTCGAGACTTGTTGCAACAATGGATACTCAGATTAACATCCCTCCAATCTCAGAAACAAATCATAAACTAACACATGTTTCTGAGAGAAATATTAGAAGATATTATTCTAATGAGTGGTCCCCAGCCATCCATATTATACAAGAACAGGGCACAGCAACTGATGATCTTCCAAAGACACCAACAGCTCTACCTTTGAAATGGTTAACAGACAAGCCTGTATGGGTTCAGTAATGGCCTTTAACAACAGAGAAACTCCAGGCTTTAGAAGAGCTGGTAGAAGAACAGTTAAATGCTCAGCATATTGAAGAATCAACCAGCCCTTGGAATTCTCCTGCATTTGTTATTAAAAAGAAATCTAATAAATGGAGGATGGTAACAGACCTTAGAGCAATTAACAAAGTAATTCTGCCAATGGGCTCTCTACCATCTGGAATTCCTTTGCCTACTCTGTTACCAAAAGGATGGCCTCTCATAGTTATTGATTTAAAAGACTGTTTCTTTTCAATACCCTTACAAGAAAAAGACAGAGAAAGATTTGCCTTCACAGTGCCTACTTATAATAATTCTCAACCGGTTAAAAGATTTCAATGGAGGGTCCTCCCACAGGGAATGTTGAATAGCCCAACTCTGTGCCAATATTTTGTACAACAGTCATTGGAAGTGATATGTAAAAAATTTCCTAAATCTATAATTTATCATTATATGGATGATATTTTGCTAGCTGACTCAAATGCAGATACTTTAGAAAGAATGTTTGAAGAAGTAAAGAAAATTTTGCCTTGCTGGGGATTACAAATTGCTCCTGAAAAGATACAAAGAGGAGATTCTATTAATTATTTAGGATATAAAATAGAGCTACAAAAATTTAGACCCCAAAAGGTGCAAATTATGAGAGATAGACTACAGACTCTTAATGACTTTCAAAGATTATTTGGAGATATTTCTCATCTATGAACTATTGTTGGGGTAAAAAATGATGAACTGAATAATTTGTTCAAAACCTTAGAAGGTGACAAGGACTTAAATAGTCCAAGAGAATTATCACCTGAAGCTGAGAAAAAATTGGCCTTGGTAGAAAAGAAAGTACATGAAGGGCACATGGATTGTATTGATCCAAAGCTG